AGTCCTGTGGCAGAGACCCTGACTTTCATATCAGCATTAACTGAAGATGCTGGCTTTCCATCTCAGCTTGAAAGACACCAGCCTGTGTGTTATGCTAATACAGGGAGCACAGCGCTGTGATTATGTATTGATAAATCCTATTGGACTGCTATCGAAAGCTATTGGATGGGTTTCCGTTCATTAGCACGTGTTATACAACCATGTGGGACACTGCATCCCCACAAAGCGATGGAGGGTTAGCAGCTTCTGAAGTAAAGTTGGCCAGGAAGCTAGAGGTGAAGCATTGTTCTATTTTAAGCGACACTCGCGACGCACATCTGTCAGATCGGCTCGGCGCGCCGCTCTTAGGCTCGTTAGCTTAATTAGGCGAAATTTCAAAGTCGCACTTCTTCCAGCCTCGATGAGATATCGTCGGGAATTATATTGTGTGACGGTCCCCAGGAACCATGAAAGATTCATGAAGGATTCGCCGGAATGCGAGACGCTGGCCGCTGCGGAGAGTGACTGATCGCGTCGGGCGTGCGGGTTCCATGCGGAGATGGCGCTGTGCAGCTTAACTCTCAAGCTCAGCAGAATCGGAGGACACGTCCTGTATCTGCCCCAAACTCCACCCAAAGCCCAGATCCAGCTAAAAAAGAAATCACTGAGGTGTGCAAACATGCCTCAGCCAGTCGGAGGGCCGCGTGTGGTCTCCAGCCATGCGTGTGGTCCATAAACTGTTGGAGACTGACCCTGTAGAATCCCTCTCAAGTCCAGGGTCATGATGCATGCTCCCTCTGGCTGCTTCCGGCTACATTGCGATTCAGCATCACACGCCATTAGGGTAATCCAGACCAAACCGGTACAACAGCCACTCATCGTACCTTTGATTTGAACAGAAGGCTTGGCTGGCATTGGCAGATTGTACCTGCAGAATCCAGCGATTACCATAAGCAATTTAAATGCTATCGATTTAACCTTCTGGGTGCTGTAATTGAGCCCCAACGTAGGACCAAGCTAGATTTTTGCATGAGTGTTTCGGACACCGAGGACAATCGATATGGGCTTTTTCATAGCGGCAGTGAATGTGTTAATTTGGCTCCCAGAGCTATACAATGGTGCATTTATTTATGGCAATATAACACATTCTAGTGCATTAGGCACCAGTGAGGTCATCAAGTAGGTGTTTTCTTTTTTTTTTTTTTTTTTTTTGCATGGACCTTGTAAGAGCGTCACTGAAAGAAAGAAAACAAGCCGGTTGGTAATGTGTGGCTCCGTCAGGTGCAGCTCTCGACTACTTACGCTGTTTTAGCTGAATATAACGTTCATAGGAAGCAATTCATGAATCTGATAGTTGCACCCTGAATGTCCATTCCTCATTCCGACCCTCCTTCCCTAACCCACTGCGAAAAGGTGAAATTTCTCTTGTTAATATTTCAGTGTTCTAATTGAGGCAAAAAATTCCTCTTCAGGTAAGGTGCTACATCTTCTTGACATATTCAAAGTACAGAGACCTTTTGGAATAAAGTGTTTTTTATTAAATTTTCATTATCATAATTTATGCTTGTCAGGGTATCCGCCTTGATCGCGGCCGTCGATTCGGCCACCTTATTTTATCTGTTTGTGGCATCACCTCAGCTCTTACAACGTCATTCCCGAGAGCAATTGCAAGGAGAGGGTACACACATTAGCCAATTCTTAGCAGTTCTTTAAGGTTAGAGAGCCTTTATCGTTACACATCAAGGCAGTACGAGTCAGAAGAACAACTAAAACTAGTAGCTGTTTTTTTTTCTTGTTTCCTGCAGTGGTCAGCAAACAGCCACAATTCCGCTCTGACTACATCCTTAAATATGGTCCCTTCTAATCAAGTATAAGATGGCTAAATTCACACTATATTACTGGACTGTTTCATCCTGGTTTTAAACAACGTCCTTACAGGGCGGTTTTCCGTTTAAAGTCTGTTGAGTCTTAGTGCTTCTTTAATTGGCTTCTATGTGTCGTTTTTGGTCCAGCAGAGCCAAACAGGACAGCTTAAGCCCCACTTCTGGCTAAACGGACCGACAGCCTTTGCACCTTCTGTGATGCATCTGTGTCGTGTTTACTAATGTGCTCCGGCAGCCGATGCAACGGCGCCTTGGTGGCCTTTGGCATGTTGATCACTCCCCTACCTCAAAGAGGAGGCGTGCATCAAATGTATCGTTCCACGCTCTAACTGAGTGCACAACACATCCCTAATGAAAGTGCATAGAGCTTGTTTGTGCTTTTGTATTTTTCACCATATAAAATGGTCATGCTAGACCAGGGCTGTAGATTCTCCTGCTGAGATATCACAGAATGTTTGGGAAATATGGTCTACAACAGGGTTATTCAACTCACGGTCCTCGAGGTCCGAGCACTGCTGGTTTTCTAGCCTTCCTTTACCTGTCAGTCAGGTGTGAAGCCTCTGACCAATCAGAATCAGTAATTATTAAACAACTACCTGGGAGAACTGAGAACATGGCCTGGATTTGGAATCGAGGTCCAGAGTTGAAGAACCCTGGTCTACAATATATAAGTTAGCATCCAGCTAACTGTTTGCTGATTTCACTTCTGTTTATTCTGAAGACCCAGGGAGGTGAGTTCCTCGCCGTGCTACTCGGGTAACGGGAGAAGAGCTGCGGGCAGAGCCGAGGGGCCGCGTCAGTGTCGCGTTTGAAAGCAAGCGACGTGGAGGCTTCTCTGAGACACGAGCGCAGTGGGCCGGCTGCAGTGTGCACAAGGCATGTACGTGGCACTAGTGCTTAGCTCACGTGCTAACGAGGCTTTCTGCTGGTGTAGTCACGGCCGCGGCGTGCATTCCAGCAGAGGGTTAGCTGGGTTTTAAGACAAGCTGAGCGTTAAATTGGAATTTGATTCAAACATGTTTCACACTCTCTTGACGACCGTAAAGCGTTATGCTCATATAAAACACCTGAGTAGTAGGTATTGAGACACACAGACAAAAACTGTTAGCAAGGTGCCTTACTAGTGAGGAAAGTTTGATTATTTACCTCACTGATACAGCTGAATTTATGTCCCCGGTTTGCATGCCTGTATATTGATGACAGCCATTAATGGGGACAGTGTGCTAGTTGTACATAAGTTTACTGGTGCAAAGGTGGGATGGAATTGCAAAACAGGAGCATCGCAAAAACCAAAAGGCTTTTTTTTGTTTTTTTTTATCAACGTTGAATCAAAAATGGATTTTACAGCAAGAAGTTTTGGCCAAGGAATAGATACTTTCAAATCAAGACAGTGCAGACTAATAGTCACAAAAAAATACCCAGAATCCCCTAGGTCAGCTTCCCCAGCTTTATATTAATTCCATTTAGCTGACTTTATTTATGCTTTACAGCCGTATCCGTCTTTGAAGAACCAGCAGGTTTCCATTAAGCAAGGCATCATTCACCAGGACAACACGGCAATCCCCAACTTTCATCTCTCCCTCTCACCTTCTCACAAGGGAGACTGAGACCCCACTTCCAGGCACCAGAGATAAACACCATTTATACGGACAGCAGAGACAGAGAGAGCTGCCGCTTATGGAGACATCACATACAGGGCCGGACGCATATATCAGAAGCGGCTCCTGCCTATTAACTCCTTAGTCTTACCGTGTTATTAGTTTAATGAGTGTTTGCCAGATAGCTGTTAGAGAACAAATACCTCCCAAGACCCATAATCGGGAGACCTCATTATACCCGATATCGCGGTTCACTTCAGGTGATAAATCTGCCTGCTTCATTATCTTCATCATCTGTTGGTGTTCTCTCTTAACTACTGTTTTTATCAAGCTGCTGTGTTTAGCTGCTTTGGAGTTTACATGCCGATTATACAATACTTTGCGGGCTGAAACAGTGAAGGAATTTTTCATCGATTCAAGCCTAGTTGAAGTTCATCAGGAGTTTTTTTTAAATTGGGATTTATGTATGTGTTGTGTTACAGTGGTTTATTTTCAGGAGCAGAGTTATGCATATTCAGAGACTGCCAGTTGTTTAAAATGCTGTGATTAGGTCATATATCTGTATCCGAGACAGTTACCAGTCAGTCTGTTATTAAGAGGCCTTTCCGATCTTCCTGTCACTGGCTAACTGACAAGGGGTGCTGTAATTGTTATTTGTCCAATTACGTTGGCTTGCTGTGTTTTTTTTTTCTCTCTCATCTTTTCTCAGTTCGGGAGCAAATTGTGTCACAGATAATAGGCAATACTAGCCATTAATCCTGAAAATTGCCACGAAATAACAAGCTCTGTGGACCATCATTGCGGGTTTGAGTAACCTCTTTAAGGGCTGCTTTTTATGGAGCGGTGAGTTCAAGTCGAATAAAAAAGCAAAATCCCTATATATCAGCAACAAACAGTCAACAGGATTCAACAACATTAATGCGTCTGTGGCAAACCCCTCACCTTCTAAGAGCCGCGGGATAGAGAGGCAATACAGCGGCGTGGATGGATGGATCTAAGTGAAGAAATGACAGAGGTATGTGCTCTTTCTTCTACCCAGGCTTTTCATTTTACTGAACCTCATTTTTCTCTCAAACTCCAGATATCAGCGATTCTCTTAGATCTCTATGAATGATTATGATTACATAACTCAAAGCCATGTCTGACACATACAGCTTGAACGAAATATATTCGGCTGAAACCAGTCACACAGTCCAACTCTGTGCACTTCGTTTAATGGTGAGATTTTTTTCCCCGTTAATCAGAATCACCTTGCCGTGGTTAGGCTTGAGAAGAACGGTAACCTGGAGCAGTTAAGAGCGCGCGGTGAATCTGGATCAGCTTCTCTCAGCATGGGGCCCATTGGCTGTGCATGAAAACAGGGGTCATGACCTCAGAGAAAGGAGGACAAGTGTAGGATCCTTCTAAGACACAGAAATAAAAACCCAGAAGCAAATTTGTATGGAGGCTTTTTTCCTTTAGGGTTACAGGTAAATGACGAATGACAATATCCCATGAAAACCAAGATATTTCTTGGAAGTCTTTCATTTTCCTGCTTTGCCTGAATATCTCTATAGAGAGATGATGAATCAAACAACCATCGTTTAATAAGGTGCCTTTGGTGATGCAGGCATCAGACACATACGCGCTCAACACCAAATCAAAGGATTCATGAATACCATGTTGCTTGCTCCTTTTAAGGCTCTTGATGTGTGATCTTTGGGTTGAATGTTTTTTTTTTTTTTATTTGCCTGAATTTGCCTTAATCTTTTAAACGGCAATAGCTTTCATCTGTGGATGATTGTTAGCGGAAGCGGCGCAGCTGCTGCACGACTGTATGACCTTCAAACATTATTCGGGATACATGCTGTATACGTCATCATCTTTTTTTATCTGCTGACGTGACAGGGCAACTCTTGGAAAAGGTGCATTGGCTATATTTAACAAAATCAAAAATGAAATGAAAATATTTAAACAAAAACAGGTGTTCGCAGGTTCACAGGGTGCACATTAATGTAAGCATAATACATGAATGATAAAGTTCTATTTCGGCTTCTGGATCACCAATTATAATATTTGAGAAGAATGTATTTTTTTAAGCTTTTTTAAATCTTTATGCATTCTGTAAAATGTATTTTGAATATTATTTCAATAATTCAATTTCCGGCCAAAATTTAAAATGGGTATGTTTGGTGAGTCCAAGAGCAGGTTTAAAGAGTTCATGAGACCCTGGCGGGCACAGGGACGGCGCGGCGCTTTCCGTTACCATGGCAACTGATTACTAACCGGCAGACTCTTCAATTAACGAAACTCAGCTGGTCCTGTTGCCCTAATTGACTTGCTAAGTTTTAAATAGGGTCAGTTAGGTGAGCGTAAGGGAGTGTGTCAGTGGAGAGCTGCATGTGGGGTTTTTGTATCTAACATAATAGTTTTTGTTCTTAAGCTCATTTAGCTGGGTTTCAGCTCGCTTTTGTGAGCTTGAAGGGACTTTATCCCCGTTTTGTGTGAGGCTTTTATTTCATTATCAGTGTATTAATTTGAAAATCTTTTGTGTGCCACCAGCTGTCCAGTGCCACAGTGCAGCTCACGTGACCACTTGTGCTTTACAAACTGGGATTAAAAAAATAAAGGAATGAATAAATCTCAATCCACTAAGCCGGACAGTGCTTGTGAGGGTACAGTTCGCTAAAGCTGCCAGTGTCATTCATCTATAGATTAGCTACCAGAAGGGCTCGAGTTATTCTGTCTTTAAAATGGCAAGTTAAAGCGCATAAAGTCCATTAAGAAATTCCATTTTTTTTCCCTATTTATTGGGGAAAAACAGCATGGATAAATCCAATTATAAATTCCATGATTTTCACATAGAAATGTTAATTTAGGGGAACAAGTATCTTCTGAGTTATACAAAGTTAGTTAAGGGAGGCTGGTCCTATTATTTACCAGAAAGATAGTTCCAGTAAAAGGCCTCAGTATGCAAGGTGATGGTTTCGCAGCAGATGATTTGCAATTACTACCGATCCAAAAATAATGACGTCACAAAGCGTAACACAATAAACCTGTATTACCATCTGTGTTTAAAATGATTATGATGCTGTATTTCATGTATAACAGTAGTCCATGCTGGGTAAAATGAATACTAAACGTGTTTATAGAGATACAATTCAAAAAGATCAAATTAATAAAAGCTATTTCCCGTACTAGCATGTGAACTGAGTTACTGTGCTACATTGGATCCGACGACCATCATGTACAGCATAACTCACACCTTCTTCTCTGCACTGTCCAACAGACCATGCAATAAGGCAACAGATATGTGCAGCATGGTCACCACAGCGTCAATACCCTCCATACTTTTTAACATGCCGTCCTAAAAAGATCCAATGCAAATAAAGAACCACAAAATTCAAGTGTTTGCATTTCAAACTTCTTAACTCATCAGACCCGTTCAAATATATACAGCAATTAAAAAAAAAAAAAAGACACTTGTTCCGCAACTCAGTTTTTCTGGAGTGGGTTTGGGGAAACGTTCACAACCAAATTCAGTTCAGTTAATTACATACTTCAGAACAGGAACGACAGAATCTTGTGGACTGGGGATGCTCTTCTCCCATTAGAGGAACCCTGTTCAACCTGAGATTTTAAGGTTGCTTCTGTTCTTTGACCCACCCACTCGAGTCTGAGATCTTCGCTGGTCCCCCAGTATCTAGTGAAGTCTTTATACTAGCTGTGCTTGTAGGAATAGCTGAGAAACAAAAGTTGTCCATCAGGAGAACATCCTGGTCCTCTCCACTGCTGTTTCACTGAGGTCTCCATCTGAGGCCGCACTTTGCAGGGGGTGAGGGGGGGTTGTTATATACATATAGGAAGGTGAGCCCGGATTAGCAGTGGGTGCTTTTAGTCTGAGACTGCGGGTTCCTTCAGAGGCCGGCCTCTTCCGCATCCTCCAAGGGGCTTCAGCGAACTTGGGCGGTATAGCCTTCCTTCACCAGGCCCTCCTCGTAGTCCGTCTGGCACAGGATCATGTTGTTCTTCAGGAAGAATTTGTCACCCACACAGAACCTGTAGGAAGTGGGGGGGGGGAAAAATCAGGGTGTTGCGCAGGAGGGTTTCTAGCTATTGAAAAGATTCAGGGCTAAGCCAAGTTCATCTGAGGCTTGACTTTTTTTTTTGTTTCAGAAGGAAGATTGGCATTAGGGCTAAAATACTCCGGGCTGTCGCCCCGAGAGATCGGGTCTAACGCTGCCGCCCATGGTGCTGAGGGAACACCAATAGAACACATCTTTTCATTAGCAGGGCAGAGCTGTGGGTCCGCGCCAGCCTGCGAACACACATGACCTTTTTTTGTCGTTGCGGGGGCCATACTTGACCTTTCGCTGCGCTCGATTCGGGACTGAGATTGACATGACTGCCCCCAGGACTGTTATACATCCTCAGGGGAAGCTGGACACTGGCTGGGCGGGAGGCCGGGCTCTTTACCTGGGGTCGCCTGGCCTGCCTTTATCAGGGTCTTCCAGGGGGAAAGCATTAGCCTCCATCTCCAGAAGAGCTCAAGCAGAGCAATTCTCAGCGCTCATCCCCAGAGCACCACACTTAAGCTGAAGAACACAATTTTTTGTTGGAATAAGGAATCCTCATCATCGAGACGGGCAGTATTTCCATAAGGCGAATCAACTCATTAGGAAAACGTGTTAAGTCCATATCTCTGAATAATCAATTAAGCTAAAATTAAAATACAGTATCACCCTGTTCCACTATATCTGTTTAAGGCAGATTTTCTTCAAGAAATTGTCACAATGTTACATTATGTAAGCTTCTAACACAAGGGCTTAAACATGACTGTGCTGTTCTAGAAGTACATAGATTAATAAACGAGATGCATAGAGGGGTTAATCTAATGGCGATTTATTCGGTACAGTAACCCCGTTTACATGACTCACGCTTCCCGTGAAATTATCTTCACTGAGACGAAGCCTCTCGCTTGCATCGTTCTGCTAACAGGACTCTGCCTTGACATTTATTCTCCACTTTACTTGTCCGCTTCATCCTGCCAAATGTTTCTCTGTTGTCTTGCAACTTTTCTTGTGGCTCAAGTCTACGTTTCTCACCTTATCTCCAGAGGCCAGTCCGACTTGCCGTTGAATTTTCGTAGACGCTCCCCGGGTTACGAAGATTCGTGTTACGATATTTAAATCTTACGATGTTTTTCACTTTCAGTACATTATTCAATAAATTAAATGAGATATTCATATTTGACATTTTATTATAAAACCGGCTTTATATTAATGATTTTGCCCAAGTGTAGGCTGTAATGTAAGTGTTTTAAGCATGTAGATTTTAAAGTTAAGCTATGCTATGCTAAGCTATGCTGTTTGTTAGGTTAGATGTACTGTATTAAAATGCATTTTCGCCTAATGATATTTTCACCTGGCAGTAGGTTTAGCGGAACGTAACCCCATCGTAAGAGGCTGTATTTATTCATAACTGTGGGTCTACCAGTACAGAACCACATGGAACTTCTACATGTCGGTATGTGATGATATTAACTTAACCTTCAGACACTGACGCCAACCTTAGCAAACAGCAGAATAACACTCTGTAACCCTGGTGCCTCGACCGCCTGCTTCAGATCATGAACATCTAATGACATTCTTGGGTGGCCTATTCCGCAGCTCTTTAAGGTTCTAGAATTTCTGATGTTTTACTAGTTACCAAGGCTGGATGATTTCCATGTAACTGCAGCTCTCTGGCACAAACGTCAACAGGAGATAAATGGAATGTGGGGCAGCATCAGATAAATCTGCTGATTCAAGTCTGGATGTGATAACCCATTAGCAGCCAGCGATTTGTTAAAAGGGTGAGGGAGCTTTTCATGGAATATTTTCCATCCATCTTCTAACCTCTCAGCCAGTGATTTCACATTTCCAAGTTAATCCCAACGCATATGTTACACACGCTCAAGACCTTTCCATTAATATCAGACTAAAATAATATTCTACAGCCGCACGTGGTAGTAGATTTATTAATTTCGCTCAGGTTGCATTTTGACACTGGACGTCATGCGGACGATTTCATTGAACAAACGCCCAGACAGAAAGAAGAGTGTGGACCTTGGGGGGGGGCAGGAAAAAGCTGAAGATGAGTGGCCCCCCCATCACGGCCGCAGGATTTTATGTATTATTTATCTGGGCTGTTGATCAAGTGGAATTATATCCAAAAGTAGATCACAGGAAGCTGCAGGCTTTTTTCCCAACGAGCGTGTGATAGAAAGAAAGCCGGTCACAGAATGACGTTAGCATAGGCTAGGCTAGCCAAACAACATAACGGGGGCAGATAGGTCAGCTCAGAGAGCTTCAACGCCTCTTATGTTACCCTAATTTGGTTAGAAAGCCAGCTAATTAGCCCTGTTTTTTTGTTTTTTTTGGAAGAAACTGTGGCTGGTGACACCGTATTTTGACAGTGTCATTTTCCAGTGCCGAGTAACTGTCACTGACAAACTGTATTCAGTCACATCAAGAAAAGGTTCATCATATCATCGCTGTCCAATGAAAACCATGTTGTCCACTTTCTGACAATTGTGACTTTTTTACTATACGTGGAATACAACCATTCTCCTCTGTCTGCTGATGTAGTTTGACATATAATTGACCAATGAAAAGATTTGTTATGAAGTCATCTGTTAAACTAGTATTTATGGTTGTACTAGTTAACATTTATATTCATGAAGGTCGGTTTTATATTAGTTGTTTAATTTGCCTCACTGACAGCAATCCACATAAGTCCATTTAAAACATTACACCATTTACTGACGGCTGAGAAAATATTTGATTTATGGCGCTAAGGGTGTCTCGCTACGATGTTTTTTGGTTTATTTTGTAAAGTAGTTTCCGATAAAGCGTGTTTTTTCACACTCCTGTAATAACAGATTTTTGGAGATATGCGTTTTTCATTGGATGGTAACGATATGGTCAAGCCCACATCCAAACAAGCCAGACCATGGTCACCTCTCCAGAGGTCGTCCTCCCCGCAATACTGAACAGCTCCCACAAATCCACAGTAACGAGTCACCTGATTAAAGCCCAGCGCTTATGCTGTCCGTTGCATTCATTTTGGGTTCTGCTCTCAGCTTGTTTTACCTATCTCCCTCTCCGGATTTGACCGTGCCTGTTATCGATTCTGATTTGAACCTCAGAGTTAAACATCATTTCACGCTGTGTTTGGGTCCTCCTAGTCTGTTCGAATATGTACACATATTCACATATAGTTCTTCTAATTTTGGTTCATCTTAATGACACGTGATACGATGGGGCCCTGGGGGGGGGATAAGTTCTTAAAAACCACATTCTGCTGCATGTGACCTGGCTTGAAGACTGAGGTCATTGTTTCAACATCATTCTTTAGGTGACTAATGTGCCCACAACACACTAAAAGTGTTTCTGGGGGCTGGAGACGGTCGAGAACTTTTAGAGTGCTCTACCGACCCTTGCGGGTGCCCACCCATAAATCTTCTCCTACCATCAAACGAAATTGTGACAGACACTTAGACATGCTGGAGTGACCCTAGCCTGAGCAAGTGAGCCTTGCTGATGTGTATTAAACACTCGGCCTGTCCTGGGCTAAAATGAAACCACTGTCCAGCTTAAGTGAGTTTAATTGGGAGAAACCTGGGCTTCTGTGTGCTCGCCTGCCGGGGAAAGCCGGCTGACTCCTCACATTAGCCACGTTCGTCCGCACGGGCCGCGTAAGTGACAAGACGATAAGCCCGGCGCGAGATGTGCTAGATGCCACAATGAGGCACTTCGGGGGATGAGAAGGAGACGGAGATGAGCGGAGCGGGAGCTGAGGCGCTGGGTCAGCGTTTCTAGCACTCAGAGGAAGCCAGGATATTTACACACGCTGGTGATGAATCAATACGATCATAGTAACCACTACACCACCACTACAAAATAAATATATGCACTCAGTGGGCATTTTATCTGCTGCACCTTGCGAGTGCTTCGGTAAAGTCCGTTTTTGACTCCTGGAGTTCACAGAATATAGTGCGATAAACAAAACACATCTAGTCAGTGGCAGTACTATTGCTGAAAACACCTTGGTCATGCGAAAGGTCAGAGGAGAACAGCCAGACTCATTAAAGCTAATGAGAAGGTCGCAGGGACAAAAATTCCAGCTCAGTACAGCAGCTGTGTGCAGAAAGGCAATGGCTTATCAATCCCTGAGGTTCTAATGGAGGTAACAGGGAGTCCTACCTGGTGTGACATAGGGGACCTAATAAAGTGACCACTGAATGTGTATTCTGACCACGCCCCACTGGTATCTGACCACGCCCCCACTGGTTGTCTCCGCCCTGCTGATGGTACAAGCCTCAGCATTGGTTAAGGCAGTAATAGGCTCCACCCCCAGCACTTAAACTTACCTCTGATTGCACAGCTGGCAGGCGAAGCAGTCTAGGTGGTACACATTGTCCTTGGCCCTCATGACCATCTCGAAGGCAGGGATGAGCTTGCTGCAGGCAGCGCAGTTTCCTGTCACGCCGAACAACCTGCGAGAGACAGCCCCCGTCGGAGGGGTGCATGCTGTAAGAGAAGGAGCCCTTAGGTAGGGTTGCCCCGTCACGGACGGACACCCCCATCTGGGAAAGGAGGGCACCAAACACTGACGCTGTAACGGCATCTGCAGCGTCAATCACACCCTGTTTGGGACATTCCACAGACACTAAAAATGTTCTATAAATGTTCTATGGTCTATAAAAACACCCGATAACAAAAAATTAATAAAAAACTGTTAGGGAAACTTTGTGAGGCATTCTCCCACAACTGCTAGGGCTATACAGTCTGAAGCAGAGAGAGCAATTTGAAAAATTATCCCTAGAGTACAATGCACTGATGTTTATTCAACTAGCTGCACTTTTCCTGCAGTGTGTCTCCTCAGTAATCAATAAATAATGTCTGTTTAACGTGTGGTACGGTTAATCAAGCAAAAAAAAACGTGTCATCATTTATTTTTAATCCCACACGTAATGGATAAATCGTTAGCGACCCGCGGCGCCTCCAGTGCCGACGATAATGGCGCTTCTGTATATAACGAACGCAAACAGATGCGATCCGCTACCATGACAACTGAGTAAAATGCAGAACACTTCCATTTTCAAATGGGAACAAATGGACACCACAGGGTCACGGGTTTTTTTCGGAGGAGTTCTAACTACTATTGCATCGCTAGATGGTGCTCCCCCCACGCAGTCTGACAATGGACTATTCCTTTCTGCTACTTATTTATGCTAACCCCAAAATGCAGTGTGGACATTCCAAACAGTACTAGTGATGGGGGGGGAGAAAGGGTGCCTCCTGTGAGTACAAACACAACATCTAATTCCCTAATTGCATGTCACTCCAGACGCAAGACGCAAGGCATTCCAGCTATGTGAACAGGCTAACTCTGATGGTGCCCACTCAATTAAACTGTTTATTTTCATTTGATTACAAGCCTAATGAGTGTAACTGTAGATGAGGTTGTTATTTCCGTTCTGTGGTTTCATAAGGTCAGTAAAGCTGTAAAGAGGAATATACAGGAACGGTACATTTCATACAAACTATACCAGAAAAGCATGTTAGAAAATTCATTTTTATAAAGTCAGCCAGTGGCACTGAGCCACACATTTATTCAAGTGAAGAATGTAAAAGAAAAAAAACATGTTTTTTATTAGGCATTTACTCTTCTCTTCTGTTTGTCACTGGATTTAAATAACACACTGAATTAGATTCAGTTTGTTACGCATCAACAGGGCATCCAGCTGAAAAATTATGTAACTGGCATATTTCAGCAACATGTTAAATGATTCCACGAAGTGCTAACCATTTGAACTTCTAAAAGAACGTTTCGCTTTCACAGCAGAACTAAAAAACCATTTACCAGTGTCCTTTTGGACAACATACAAGCAGCAACACCTCTATATGCAATAAAGATTAATTCATCCTCCCGTAAAATGAACACAGGCTTTTAAAGCCATAGACTTTTAATCACACACTAGAGTGATCTCTTTGACACGACAGCATCATTTGAAAATAAAATGCATAATTACACACATGTGCTCACAGAGAGGAAAAAAAACGAAAGGAATATAGATGTAAAATGGAAGGATGATGGGGGGGAGTGGCATCGAGCAACTCTTCAACAATAGGCTGCAATTATAAGGTATTTCAGCCTCTAAAGTAGGGGGTCACAACCTATTGCTGTCCACAGTTTACGGCATACAAAAAATTCACAAACTGATCAAACTTGCAACAGAGTGGGGGGGTGCTAAGGATGTGTCAGAACGCACAGGTGTCAGGGCTCGATGATGAGGATTCCTTATTCCAACAAAAAATTGTGTCAAAGGCTGGGGCTTTAAGTGCACATCTTCTTGTTGTGACCGGGTCGTTAAGCGAAATGTTCACTAAGTGACAATCACGGTACTCTGGGCGTGATTGTGTTTCAGCCTTCCATACTCAGTCTCTTACCCTTCATGAATTGTACTTCAAAGATCTCTCTCCCTTCGGCATGAGTTGCCATACAGGCGTACGAAAATTGGCCAAAAATGCCCGCATTGGACGGAAAATGAATTTTTTATTACTGTCGTATGTGCAAATGGTCACTGACAGAGTCAGACGCCAAGCGAGGAGTGGTGGTGCTTTGGTTTTGGAAATTGACCGATCCCTGCCCCCACACCCCCAGCGGCCTGTTGGAATAGTGGCCACTGACTGCGGGGGGGGGTTGGAAACCCAGACTTGAAAGCACCCGTCTCACCGTGTTCAGAAAAACAGGGAGGGGTAAATTAAAGATCACTTTGTTTTGGTGCTTGTCCATTTTCTACGGAAAATTGAGTGATGTAGAAGAAAACCACCCCAGACGATGCTGTCAGAAATCCTAACGCCAACCCCCCCACCCTCAAATGCCTTAGGCTTGGTGTGCATTTATCAGCTACCTGATTAGAATTTGTTTCCATGCAAACCATTGATCATCGACCCATTACTAAGCAAATGACAGTTAATTACGCACTACATTAACCAGCAGACCCCGAGCCTGGCTTCCCTGTCATCAGTCAACATGATGGATTCCGCCTATCCCATGATGCACGGCAGCCCACAGCGGCTCACAAGGCCACGAGCAAACCTCAGATCTCACTCTCCCGCCTGGGAAATCAATGGAAATGTGCATAATTACAGGTTCTGGCTTAATAACAGGCCAGTGATTTGTTGCGTCTAAATTATCACTGGCGATGCTGAGCACAGGCCTCCTGACCCCACGTTACAGTCCATCTTCGGCAGGGAAATAAGGTGGTCATATAAATGTAAATAAGGAGCGTAAATAAGAAAAAGGCGGGTGGGGGGGGGCAAGCAGTGGCGTGTTAGCGCAGCGAGAAGTTGGAACCTGGGGTGAGAGTCAAGAATGGGCTTTGTTTGGGCAGAACAGACTCTTTTCCCCGTGTCCCAGCTAACATTCAATCTTCAGCTGCACAGCGAGAGGTTAATTATCAGTTACTGCTTCCTCCCTAATAGGACCAGACCTACCATGGAATATTACCCAAATGTCAGCCTGAGGGAGCAAAAACGTGCTTTAAATAGGGACAGAGTCTCGCCTCTGCCTTCTGTTTTTTACAACTCCTCTCTCCCATTTACTCCTATCATCTGCTATCCTGTATTCCGGTATTTCCCAAACTGTTCCTCAAGGACCACCAGACAGTCCACGTTCTGGCTCGTACCAGGACCTGGGAGGCAGCAAAAATGTGGATTGTCTGGCAGGGAGCTTGGAGGGAGCAAAAATGTGGACTTCGGGCAGCTCCTGCCAAACCGCTCATGAAAGTGCTTCTCCAAATCAGCTCTGTTTCCAGGGTGGTCTACTTTTTGGAGAGAAAATTGTTTTCCTCGTCCTTAACCTATACTGTAAGCATCTGCCTCCCACATCTAAGGTTTAATTAGTTATTAAACCTTTTATGAAAGAGCCAGGCTGTTCTATGCTAATATTCGGCGAGGCACTTTGCAGACCTGCAAAATAAATTGCCGTGCTGTAAGGTTAATGGTGACGCATGTCGAACCCCGTGTAGTAATTACACAATCATGTCAAAGCTCTTAATGCTTTTAGGCTCATTAGCTGACGCCTGTGGCTAATGGGGACATTATGCTACCTACGTTTCTGCCTTTGAACCCTGTATTCCACAGCAAAAGGCTTTATCTGCAACATCCATTCAGCTTTTAAGAGAGATACCGGGGGAAAGAGAATGGAGAGAATTCGACCAGTAGGCTGTAGCACTGGGCTACTGGTCTTTCTTTAAAGCTCATTTACAAGCAAAAGTGCTAAATATAGTCACGCTGTTGTTTATAATGGCTGAGCTCAGATTGGGATTGATGAATCCCGCGAGGCAGGGGGTTCTGTTGTGTGTTTCCACCCGCCGTCTTCCACATCGGATTTCTGTTTTGGGTGCTGAAAATGAAGTTTGGCCTTTTCCGTAACCATAAAGTTATTGTATCTTCTGAAAGTGCTGGAAATCAATACATGTTTTTGCTTGAGCAATTTAAGGGATAATCATTGTATTATGCAATAGCATAAGTTCCAAGATCAAGTAGCAAATCAGTCACTCAGACAAATCTGAGCCAATGAAAAAAGCTCTAGGTTCAAGTTATCTGTGGGTACCAACTGAGTACTGTCCTCGTCATAACCGTAGTCAACAAACTGTGATGTACTTGGGGAAAAAAATTAAGACTGACTTTCTCGCTATATAGAGCAACATGTAACCTAGGCTGGTGTGAAGAACCTTGAATTTAATGGAAGGGCTGAAAGAATGAAGAACTGCTTCGGATCAGGCAATGCATTCAGTGTGGAAAAGAGCTGATACTTCTGTGCATTCATATGTATGAAACCTATTCAGTGGCAAGTTATGATCACAGCGGTAATGGATTCAGACATCAGGGTCGCGCCTCCACAGAGACTGGAGTGACGTTCCTGCAGTGCTCCCAAATGCGACATCAGTCACACTGCAATGCAGTGCATTTACAAGTTCCATCCATCCATCCATCCATCCATCCGTCCGTCCTTCCTTCTTTCGTGGACAGGGCTACGGAGGGCCTTACGGCTATTCCAGGCGGCACAGGACACAAGGCACGGAAATCCCTGGATGGGCCGGTCTGTCGCAGGGGTATTTACAGTCAGTGCTCTCAGTCCTATTTAGCATCGATCTCAGAAGACCTACAGCCACACCTGTGAGGGTCAACCGACTGTTAACGGTGTCATTGCTGCTCTTGCCCATGCCTGCCCTGACTGCACTGACTGCACTGACTGCACTGCAAGGTCTCTGTCTGCACCTCTGGCGAGTCATTAGGGCTTAACCGCCGGCCCCACTGGGAGTCTCTGTGGCTCTGTGGTACGTGCCCGTCGTCTTTGGGAGCTCCTGTAACACTGCACTGCTCTGTGCTGCACTGGGGAATCTTCAGGAGCCATTGAGGCTCTATCCTGCACATCCACTATGGCTACAGCATAGCAAGCCTGGCCGATTTTTTTGCTGTTTGAAATTAATCAATTAATTAAGTAGTTAATCAAGATGGGTGACAGGAGTAAAGCATGTTGGAGTCTCTCACTACCTTTGCAGAATTTTATTCATTCCCCTTTTCTGTAGCCACATATAGGTCCTGAAATTAACAGCATTTCACTGTTTATCCCTCCCCCACAAGCAGGCTTTGGGAGGGCAGCGCGAGGTGAAGCTGCAACAGCAACAGATCTGAGTCATAAAGCGACAGGCACTAAGTGGGCAGCATTAAGCTGTGGGACTCGGCTGCTGTTTTTTTCCAGCTTGACACCGGTGGTCAAGTGACCAATTTATGAAACGCAGGCGAAAGGCAAGCGAAGCAACTCCGAATAACAAAGTAAGTGGCGGGAGGCAGACAAACATCACAGGGTAGACTGACGGTGAGCAGCCCCTCCGCATTCCGGCATATTCCGGCCCCAGTCCGTCTATCTGGCAAATACCAGAGCTGTCACAGCAGTTCTCCGGCAATCCCGCACTCTTCCTCTGATAAGCTCGGTTCGGTAAGAAACAATAATACTACTTTCATGTCGACAGCAAAACAATACTGAGAGTGGCAGTATTGGCCTTAGTTTCCAGTCAGTGTCCTCTGCATGCTATGGTCAGGCATGGCTGAGGCTCAATGACGGACCAGAAGGCCTCACTCGTACCGTTTTGTCTGGCCACTTTGACGTCAGTGATAACGCACCTTCTCTCTCAGAGGCCCCGAGGACGAAGAAATGAGGGGGACACCATATTACGTTTATCTGTTTGGTAGAAGACATCGTCTGAAGCTATGCACAAGTGAGAATCGGAGAATAGGGTCAGCCAATCGCGGCAGCGGTTCCGGTTGAGGGTCTCGCTCAAGGACCCGATGGTGAAATTATTCTGCCGGCTGCGGGATTTCAGCCCACGGCCTTGGAACAGAACTGTTCTGAGATCCACACCTCAGAGGTGGCCAATAGAAGGACAGCCACGTTAAGACTGGAATACCCACCTCCTCCAGCGCTCTATCCAGCACTGCTTCACGCTAGACCTAAAACACAGGGGTGGTGCCAGTTATAGAACGTTATCCGTCACGTAAATCTTCAGGAATCCCATCTAAAGTCGCGGGCATAGGTCTAAATAAGGTTTACATTTAATAAAACATCAGCGGCACTAGGCGGGACTCGCTCGCCGTGACCCGCTACCCGTCTGCATTCCTGTCGTCGCCTCCGGGGCACCGTTTGGGCCGAGTGTTTACAGCGCGCCGTTATCTCTGCCGCCCCGTTGTGATTTAACGGCTTCAAACCCGCCGCATTCCTTTCAGCCCCTCGCCCTGTGCCTGCTTTCTGTGATGCCGCTTTGATGTGCAGGTATTTAATGAAAAAGGTGCCATCGTCTGGCCTTATTCAACGACGCCACCCGGGGGGGGGGGCGTCTGATCATCACGGCCTCCTGTGCATGCGGCATGCCGGTATTCCTCAGTATTAATGATCTCAGTGCTGTTAGCCTTGCGGCTTGTGTATAATATTAGCTGACAGTTGCAGTGATGCTGTGTATGTAGCTGTTTCTTGATTGAAATCACCTTAAGTTCTGATATACAGTACTGCGCAAAGGTCTTAGCTAGTCAAAGAAAATGTTTGTCTAAATGATCTTTATGTTGGTGAACAACTATTATATCGCATCAGTCAAAGTATGTCAGCTTATCCGTTTCAAAACCTCTCCTAAAGTTACCCCAGTATTTGCAGCAACCATCCAATACACCCGTGTATTTTTTGACTCAGTCACTATCACACCCTGTTTGGCTAATCAATGCCTCATTGAATTATTTAACTAACTAACTAAACTGGTGGTCAAATTTAACAAATCCATGGAATGGCTGAGGTGCCCCTGAGGAGAGGTTTGGGACCTGAAGCGGTGTTCATCTAGCCGTCCAGCAAGATATCAGTAACTTTCTGGAGAACACAACAAAAATTCTTGTTCGTTTTTATTGTGTTACTTTTAATTTGCATGCATTCTAATGTTAAATGATGGTTTTTTCCTGAGCAAATGTAAATGTATGGAAGCATCCACATTTAAGCTCAGCATTCACTTGTTCCGCTCGTGTACCACCCTAACTCATGTTTCTATTATCAAATGCACCCACAGACTCTTCTGTTTAATGTACATGGCAACGTGGCTGGCAGGTAAAGCTGATTCCGTGTGCCCAGCTTCAGCCTCTCGTAGGCCTCACCCCTAAGTATTATCGGAAAGTTAAGTTACATCAGGCTTGCTGCGGCCTCCTGACCTCCATCTGTACAAATTATATGTGATTACCTATGTACAATGAAATGTGGTCATGCATGCTTCTTTGTCACTGCATCTGATAACTGCGTATAGGTATTTATTTTGGCGTCAGGCCATTTTGTAAGAACATTCCTCGTCTTAAGTCCAAGTTAAGGCCAACTTTACACAACACTTGGATGAATATTTTTGGTAAGTATAATTGTATGGTCGGCTGCACTCTTTTCCTAAAGCAAAATGATTTATTGAGCCCCGCGGCTCGACTATTTAAATTGAATAAAACCACCTATTTCCTTCTTATTCCCATGCCAAGATAACAGCCAAGAACAACCGCATAAGATCCAACAGTAAGAAACAGCAACAGGCCAATTTCCAACGGAATATCCACAAGTAAAGTTGAAAAACTTTGAATGGTGTGTGAATATGTTTATCATTCTAAAAACACCCAAAAAATTTTAAATCACAAGGAAACTCTTCGGATAGTTCTGGAATATTAGCAATTAACCAATTGTAGATGACCCATAATTGTTTAATTGCCATAAACAGTTTATCTGAGTTATGTTGCTTGTAGGAAAGTTTAGTTATTGGTAGGTAGTGTTGTGATAATATTTATTGTTTTGCTTTTAAATTATTATATAACTCAAGGATCAGTGGTAAATGAACCCCATTTATGACAGAACTATTTGTTCCACTTTGTCGCAGTCAGTGACGTCATAGTGGAGTGACACGGGAATGCTTGTAGTCTGCTTGTTTGCAAAAGGTCACTATGGTGACCGTGCTGATTTCCAAACTGTTCAAACACAGAGACACAATGAACAGATGAAAGTCTGGTTCCAGGCAAAAGATTCCAGACACCTCAGTGGAGTCCTGATGTTTTTTCTTCGTGTCACCCACAGCACTCTGTACCTCATGTGTGCCTATTTACACTGAAAAAGAATAGATGTCAGGACTCGTTTTTGACTCGTGCTGATTTCTTGCTACAGTTGCATTTCGCGTATCTGCTCCTGTCTATTGAGTTCATGGAAAATCGTAACGCTGGTTCTACGAAGCTGTTTGTCCATAAACGCACCGCCATTTCTGCATTGCTGATGGAGGAGCTGTGCTGGCAAGATGACTGCTTCTTGGCTGCCGTAGAGGTGAAAAAGGCCCTCACCACACTTCAGGCGTCCTCGGGCCACTGGTCTGACTAGTCTAGACCTGCTAATTCGGAAAATTTCTCAGCTACCGAGAGAGAAATGCTTCCCTGTCATTACGGATATTATTGTCATATTTGGCCTTCAAACATGTAAGTTAAAATGGGCCAGAGCCTTACTGCCTTCCCTTAGCTATAACCTTAGAAAGAAATGGCCGTTATCTCCTCAGAAAGTTCATGCTGAGCCCAATAACCTGCTTTGTACCAGTTTATCCTTTTATCTACTGCTAATAGCAGTCCTTAGGCCTTTGTCCCAAATAAATAAATGACCACTGGACACATAGAAGCTTATTGTGAGACTTCCGTGTAAGAGATGCAATATCTGCACCTTTTTAAAATACTCCTCTCTTGTGATTTAAAGAAATACTGTATAGCATTTGGACCATAACGAAATGACGGCTTTGAATAACTTCAAATGTCAAAGTTCTGCAAGTCCCTTCCGATGGACATATGGACAAATGGAAAAGGAAAAAAAGAGTTGAAACACCCATTACATTACAGGAATTGCCCACAAGCCACACCCACTGCTGACAGACAGGTGTACAATTAAACACACAGCCATACAATCTCCAGCATCAAACAATGGCGGCAGAATGGGTCATACAGAAGAGGTCAGTCAGCCTGGTATCATCACTGGACACTTTTCCAGCAGGTCGGTTCTGCACATTTTTGACCTGCTAGAGCTGCACTGGTCAACTGCAAGTGAAGCGACTGTGACGTGGAAACATCTGGAAGCAAGTTCAGCTGCAAAATGGCAGCCATACAAGCTCACATAGAGGGACCTGATCACCCAACATCAATGCCCAACATTAATGGCAGCAAATCCCACCAGCAATGTCCCAGCATCTACTGGAAAACCTTCCCAGAAGAGTACAGACTATTATAGCAACTAAGGCTTGGCCAACCTCAGATTAACACCATCTGATTCAGGATGAGATGCTGGATATTGCTGGTGTCGCAATACTTTTGTCCATATAGTGTATGATTCCCCTCTTAAGTAATAAAACCACTAAAACTTGTGAATCTGCATCTGCAAGTTCACGCAAACATAAACATCCGGTGCGGCGGGCAGGCTAGCGTACCGCAGGTAGTCCCGCCGGCACAGGATGAGGTTGGCCTTGGTGTAGAGGGTGGAGCCCACCTCGCCCAGCCGGCAGTCGCAGCAGGCGCATTTCAGGCAGTCCTCGTGCCAGTACTTGTCGAGGGCCTTCAGCAGGTAGCGGTCCCTGATCCTGCGGCTGCAGCCGGCGCAGCCCTTGGGCGTGGCATCTGTCTGGGCGGAGAGCATCTGTATGCCTGTCGGGGCAGGGGGGAGGGTGGACACAAGCTCAGAGTGCTGACAGCGCCACACGGAGGAGGAGGGGCAAACAGCATTGCTAAGTGGACGAAAGATGCTGCGTAACAACGGAAAAATGCGAATCGCTTTGAGCGCGTAATCCAGATAAGGAAAAAACTGCACAGCAAATGCTACACGTTTATTTTAGGGCTGAGAAGTATTTTTTTAACTATCACGCTGCAGTATAATCACTACTTGTACACGGAGGCACTAATTTCCTGGGTACGCGTTGCCCACGGCCATCTCCGCAGGGTGTTGGACGCGATGGCCTGTCACAGCAGCTGCCGCCTCGTCTGAGGGCCCGGTTGGCACAACGGCTCACCTCGGGGCCATAATTAGCGCCCCCCCCTACTGCAGACACCCCACCCTCTCCCTGGTGTGCACTTGGCACTTTTCGACACCAGCAGGTCACCTCTTCAGCAAAAGCACTTCATCCCAGCACCGGTCCCAGTAATGGACGGGGAGATGCTGGGGTGACTGGCTCAGTGTGAGATGTACCAGTCCCGCCGCATCATAGGTGTTCTGCATAACGAGTCCGTCCCGGCGCTCAAGCCTCAGGTGTGTATTTATTTCCCGAACTGATACATGATTTAATACAAAAATAAAAACAGCAGTAAATGAGCCTGTGATGCACTGACGTCCTATCCAGGGTGTCCCCTGAATTCACTGGGCGTATCCCGGGATAAGCTGCAGGGAAACCCTGAACTTTTATTGGATAAGCAGTATGGGAGATGGGTGAATGGGTGAACAGGCAAAATAAATCTGAAGCCAAGTTGATTATTTAATTAAAAAATAATGGACTAACACTAGAAATCCATCCATCTGTCTTCCAGCTGTTTATCCTGGTCATAGTAACAGGACAGTTCAATTCAAATTCCAATTTATCTGATATAGGGCCACTCCCAATATGCAGATCCACTTCTATGGAGCCTCACTGCAAACTGCATTAAAATGGTTTCATGGGGGTCTGTTAACAAATTCCCCTTCTGTTACGGCCTTTGTTTTCTCAGTTGTTGCCCTGTTTAATTTCAGCTATCAAAACCCTGATAATGAAAACGGCTTTAACGGAGATGCGGGCATAGCCTGATCATGAACTGAGAATGTCGGCTGTGTAGCAGGGCAAAAACGTTTAGAACACAAATGGAAATAAGAACCTACTGAGGTCTTTCAGATACAAAGCTAGTTTTAAAGAATGGGAGATGAAAAGAGGTTTTGATGGAAAGGTACTGAGGAACACTATGATTTATTGATACTGGACGGATTAACTTGTAGATGATCTTAATATGTTGGCGAATTATCATTCATTCCTTGGTTATAAATGCAATTAGGAATCAATGGAGTTCAGAAGTTCGGCAAACTACTGATTATTCAAAGCGCATTTGAGTTATTTTGGTGTAAACACACACACGCGCAAAAGTAAACCCTTAGAAATCCCTTAGCTTACCTATAAGAGATTTATTGTGCACCGTGCGTGTTGTATCTGGGAACTAACTGGTACTGAATCACACAAATACGCAGATGTTGCTGGCACTGTTCGTGAAGATCAGCAGACGCCGTTTCATCACTCCTGCGTTTGCTGTGTGAAAACCCGAAGGACCTGATCAGGGCGCCCGGGCGATCGGCTTCAAGCTGCGATCACTGCCATTGTTTCGCCGCGTCCGAATTATCACCGATCCCTTTTACCAATGAGTATAAATGGCCAGGCGCACATGTAGGCTACACCATAACACATGCACATTAACTCCCCGTCTCCCATCTCAAAGGTCTGGCATTTCCCTACGCTCACCAGTTTAATTGTCGTGGCTCTGACGGGTAGCCTATATCAGACGTATATACAGAAATTTAGTAACAGTAGCCAACTAAAACTCGTCATGCTCGGACTCGGCGTTTAACGTTTCCCCGTTACTTTATGCGAAATGAGATCCGTGTATCCCGAATTATTAACCTTAACAGCACGTAACATTAAAATGATCAAGACTATGGAACTGGTCAATGCATATAAACCTTTATGCACGGCCTCCAGTAAAAATAAATTTTACATTTTTTAAAATCTGCAAACGTAACGCTTTACAACATTTAAAAAACAATCGACACTGCAGAAACACAGAGTATACATGGGTGCCAGTTTTCCTTTTGCTTAGATTTACCTGAGTATTCAGAAGTTCGAAATAAAGACGCCCCCCTACATCATAAACACGCACACGCCACATATGTTTTAGATATTAAAATAATATCCTAAGCAAATAACATAAACTCACCGAAATATGTCTGTCCTTTCTGCATTTGCGGCTCGCATCTGGACCAGTGAGATCAACGCCAAATCAATGCACCCCCGTCCTCTGAAGCATGCAGACAACTGTGTGTGGGATTCACTGCCGTCCCCAGTAACAATACCCACGTTATGTTATGGGAAAGCCTCATGAGAAACCGGAGCGATCTTCCTGCAGCCCAAGCCTCCAGCAGCTGCGCATGGTGAAGACGTGCGTTTTTACCGCCGTTAGCCCTGTAATCTAATAATCCTCCCAGGGCTGCCGGTGCGTGTGCGTTGATGCCACTTTCATATTCGTACAAGGCAATGTGCAGTGAACCGAGTAAAACAGGAAAGATCCCGCCAGTAAGACAGCGAAATTGCGATACGTGAATGATTTTTTTAACACAATTGCAAGCTTCTTAAAAACTGTTAATGAAAATACAAGATGCATGGTATATACATTTGATCCATGCGGAATATTCTCATTTGCGCCAGGCATTTTCACACATACATATGTTTGCCTAATTGCAATGTAAGATATTTAAAATTTTAAAATTGAGTATGTAAATACGACCTAATGTGTCATCACTAAAGTATGTTTCACGCCCTTACGTTTTGGAAAAAATATATAATGATATTGCTGGTCAACAAAGCAGTCCAAATGGTTTCAGTGCTGCACGGAATAGCACAGCAGAAATTTGCACTACTACAGTCTGTACTTCACTTACCTTCTTGAGCAAGTTAGGAGCAGGGCTAATGGTAGACACCGGAGAGTAGCTGTCAGCTGTCTCCCCTTAGAGCTGAACTACCTGTAGACCAGGTATCGACCGAGCCGCTTCTTTGAGATCTTTAAATTGAAAATAACGAGGTCCGCATGGATCCAGCGGTAGTTATTCTGCAACCCGGCCACATGTGTCCGCTTTTATGTCCGATCTCGTAGTATTCTCGCATCAGTGACTGTGGGGCTGCTGAACAGTGTACCCAGTCCAGTCCTACACCTCTGATACATAGTGTAGTAAAGAAAAGGTCAGTCAGTTCCTGCTGAAAGCTGCTCTAACGCAAGCAACCCCCCCCGCCCTCCGTCACGCACCCATCGCTCACTGTCTCTTCCTGCGCACAACCCGCACAGTACCGCTAAACCAGCGGTGGGAGAGTTATCCAGTGCAACAGCAGCTGGACAGAAATCCCTCAAGCCGATAAGATATTTACCCTTATATCCTCCATCTGATAAGATATTTACTCCGCGTCCGACTCTAATCTGTAGCACAATATATACGCGGCTGTAGACCAGCCACCGCGCTCCATCGTACGAGATGAGAATTTACTTTCTGTATGACGACTGCAGCAAAATAATTCAAAATGAATCAGCGAAGAGGAGAAGATGGCAGACTGTCTTTAAAAGACTTTCCAAGCGACCTGCCGGCTGTACTTACTGCGTGACTTTGCCAAGCGAAATCAAGTTGCTGATGTAAGCTAAATGGAACTTGAAAGCAGTTTTATTGTTGTTTTTTCCCCTTCCATATTAGATAACATAGCCAGAGTGGAACAGCGGGTAACGTAGTAATGAACGAATTGCTGTTAAAGAGAAGCTAAATTAAGCAACTTGCTTTCACGAACCAACGAGATGTGTTGGTTTTTACATAAACATACATGTAGATTAGGTGGTTAAATCGCTTCGGGATGGCATATGTCATTGCCTTTATTTACAGATCCCTGAACAACTCAAGTGTATAGCTGTAGAGAAAATCACCGAAAATCATTTCTAGATATGGGTAAATGAAATCTGAATGTATAGATGCATCTTACACATATTCTTCAGGCGTTGAAATAAAATATGTAAGACTAACTTATGCTTCACTTTATTCTTCTTGCCCTTAGCAAATTATGCTGCAAGGGAAGTGAGTCATTTGAGACAAACCCTGGATTATAGGTGTTACAAATACCACTGTGATCAGCCTTAGTGCCTTGCTGTACATTCTTGGGTCCTTTGACAATTGAACAGATAAACAAAGAACTGAGAAACTTTGCTTTGCAACAAATGCAGTAGGATGATAAGTGGAAATAATGAGCTCCGTTGGCATTCTGATTTACGCATGCCAGTGTAAGCCATGCCACGCTGGGCACTGGCACGCTGAGATGAGGGAGCAGAAGCAAATACTGCGGGATGCAGCCATCGACCGACGGCTTCGGTGGTTCAGTACTGAGGATGTCGCAGCTCCGATTCATCAGTCACCAAGCGTCGTACTCTTAAGCAGACATCACACAGTTCCCTGCTTAATTCAGTGATCTCAAAGCTCACACACTTCTCTTTGTGAGGAGCTGGCTGTACGCGTATCTGGGATGGGGCCTTGGTACTTGTGGTTGACTTCCACTCAGACCTTCTGACGACCTCCAGTTTTACAGGATGCTGTCAGCACTGACAGACCGATCAGGGCTGATAACAGGGCTGATAATTCTTCCCAGAATTCCACTGTCTTACTCAATCTATCTCTACTTTTCTGCCAACAGCGTGGAACATCTCCACCACCTATCCCAGTGTTTCCCAATCTGGTCCTCGGGGGCCCACAGCCAGTCCACGTTTTTGCTCCCTCCGAGCTTCCTGCCAGCCAGTCCATGTTTTTTCTCCCTCCAAGCTTCCTGCCAGCCAGTCCACGTTTTTGCTCCCTCCTAGCTTCCTGCCAGCCAGTCCACGTTTTTGCTCCCTTCGAGCTTCCTGCCAGCCAGTCCACAATTTTTGCTCCCTTCGAGCTTCCTGCCAGGCAGTCCGCATTTTTGCAAGAGAGCAAAAACGTGGACTGTCTGTGGGTCTCAGAGGACCGGATTGCGAAACACTGACCTATACATCAAATAGCCTGAATGCGGAAACAAACAATTAATTAACGGGCCATGAAATTAGAGACCCGGACATCCCTCTCCACTGCAAGGGAGGTGTCTTGATAATTCGGTGTTGTATCTGTGCAACATTTTGAATCATTGCTGCCATTTATCTATCGGCATCTCCCTGAGCTCTAAGCAGCTGTAACGTGGGTCTCAGCTTATTAGACACCCATGTCAGACCATCTCCTGAGGCACAGAGACATTTAGAAGGGGATCGTCCTCCCTTCTGAAATATGATTGCTTCCTAGAGTGTGTGTGGATGCCTGTTTAAAGCTGGGAGTTTGTGTTAGTATGTAGATCTATATGTCTGATTATGTCTGTAAAAAGTAGGTTTTTATGTGCATGTTGTTGGGTAAAAACACACACCTCCCCTGTGAGTGCCCAGGCCACATCAGACGTCATGGTACAGTGGCGGGAGGGAGAGAACCCAAACGACTCACTGGGCACTGTATGGGCCATTTTGCACTCTAGGCCTTCTTGCCAGTGACTGCTGTTGGACACCTTGCCTTCTCTGGTGGGATTCTGGGTAGACTTCCTCTCCGTTACCGTTTGTTGCTCCAAACGTTTGGGTTAACGAGGAAATCATTACAAAAAGTTGGTGGGGAGATTTTAAGGACAACGAGGCCTGCCTTCTAAATGTTAGGCCTTATGCCTTATGCCAAACATTGAGCCTCAGTGATTAGCCAATCAGAAGAGAGCATAGTCGCTACCCTCTGAGACTGACATAATAAAATAAGGCTGATCATGCAGTGCATTCAACTGCAGCTTCTTCTCCATCCTTCTGGTCTTTTCCTTTTTTAATGACAGAAGGCAAATAAAATCTTATCATTGCCCTGTGTGTAAGACTCTAAAGCAGTGTTTCTCAAGCCAGTCGTTGAGGATCCCCAGACAGTCCACCATTTTGCTCCATCTGAGAGCTGGGAGGGAACAAAGATGTGGATTGCCTGCATGGGGGTCGCCGAGGTCCAGGTTGAGACACACTGATTTACAGCATCTTAACGGTCAACCTTTATCACAAGGTATGAAGTACAAGAGCTATTTCTTTGTCCGTTTACCTTTCATCTTCTTTCAGCTTCTTGCTTTTCAAACTTCTAATCACTCTTTGACATCGAGGGCCATCTTCGTCCTGCTCGTGCTCCAAATACATAAAGACTGGCATCACCTTTCAATCCAGCACCTCACAAATAGAAATAATTTACCAACAAATGCGCCTCGTGGACGTGTGTAGAGCTACCGAAGGCTTCTCTCTTGATTTTCCTTCACCTCCTACAGGAAGACTTTTCTTAATGAATGGAAAGCAGTGCTCAGCATTGCCAGGGATTATGGGTAAATGAGGCAGCGTGCAGCCATGTTTTTTTGGGGCAGATTACGATGGGGTAGAATTGCAGTGAAAGCCTTCTTCTGAAAACATATGTGGCACCATAATGCAGGGATGCGTCCATCCTTCTTTAATTTCTCAGGGAGCTTTGTCTCTCCATTTTTTGTCTCACCATTATCCACCCCCCCCCCAACGCTCAGTATCTCACCGTCTCTCTCTCTTGCTGCAGAGTTGGGTGCAGAAACTGCTCTGCCCTCCTCAGCTCTAATGGGCCTCATTATACTCTACTTACAGGTGTTCTCTTAACATAATTGATCTGCAGTGAGTTGAGTGGATGGCAACTTGTTCCCCAGCTGCCAATTACAGTCGGGTAATTAGATCCCCAACCACCAATTTCTCACATTGACCCTCCTTACATTCCAAAATATCAAAGTATCTCTTCCCGACAAACAACCCCCACCCTCACATCTTCTCATCTGACAGTATTGATGGTTGTATCAGCTTGCCTTTGTAGTAAAGCCGGATTTTGCTCCATCGACAGAGCTCCGTCTCTCTCCTCTGGATTCCTCTGCCTTTTCGTCTCATGTTTGATGAGCTCCCGGAGACAGAAGGTCGGGTCAAGATGAAGAATTGCTTCCTTGTGAAGTGTGTACTCCTTGATAAAAGTTATGCCTAAAAGGCAGATGATTTTGCTTCTGGTTAAGGGGGTAAGTTGGGCTGTGCGGGATGAAGCAGAAGGCAGCGAGACACGGGTGCGTAATGGGTCCTCTTGCGGCGGCGTGTCGATGTGCGCAATAGCGTGTGCCGTCGGCACACCTCTCTCGCTCACACCTTCCATACCGAAGACCCAGACAGCACCTGATGGGCCGTGGACCATTAACTCCATCGACTTAGCACCATAACAGAACTGTCGGTGGCGGGCATGACATCCTGGAGACCTCTGCAGGGACAAATCCTGGTCAGCAGGTCAGGTGACCAGCCGAACTCCTAGAGGCGCTACTGAGTCTGTCGAGCTTAAATTGGTCAAGACAGTAGGTGCCTGTCTGTCTAGAGTCAAGCCTACCGCCCTACTGTAAAACAAATTAAATTGAATTTATAAGAGCAATGTAAGTACATGGCTGATATTTACGGACAGATACGTAAGGATCTGTGTCTACGCTTGGGATACAGCCGGAAAATGCGAGTTTTCATTTGCTCTTGATGGTTGACTGTGGGTCGGTTGGCTGTTGGTGTTATATTACACCACTAGGGGGCTGTGAAGGGAAGTCATGAGTCAGACCACCAGATGTTGCTGAGTGCAAAGAAGGATATAATCCAGTTTTTACATCAAGCAGCTCCAAATTGCTGTTTTTCCCCCTCATTAGTTTTATATTTCAAAACCAGATTTGCTCTTTTCCGGTACAGCTTTGAATAAAAGCATCTTCTAAGCAGATTCCTACTCTTATTGCCCCATATTGCTGTAGGATATGACTGTCAGTAATATTTCTCTAACACCCACCGTCTGCTGCCAGGTTCTAAGACTCTAGAGCCTGCGGTTCATGGTCTTGGTTTCATTTGCATCAAACGGAACCTCCAGTGCAAACGTGTTGTTAGTGGAGGGGAATTAAGACAGAGTTAATTTTATTTGCGGTTTTAGTTATAAAGCGTGGTGCCAGGGAATGGGCCTGCTGAACTCGAGAATAGATAATCAGTCGCTCCAAAAAGAGAGGGTGTCTCTATACCCCCTGCCAAGGGAGGTCAGGCCGGGGTCGGCGGCTGCTTTGACAAGGTCCACCCTTTACAAGACAGGCCCGGCCTTTGTGCTGACAGGGGCAAGGATAGTAGCAATGGGGAAGTGTGTTTACAAGCTGCAATGTCCAGGTGATACAAT